TCTGGCTCAAGGTCAGCAACCACACTCTCTGGGTTGTCTGGGACATCCAGATCTTTCTGGTATAATTCTTCTGTGTATTCTTGCCACCTCTTCTTGATGTCTTCTGCTTGTATTAGATCCCTTCCATTTTTGTCCTTTATCATGTCCATCTTTGCACAAAATGTTCCTTTAATATCTCCAATTTTCTTGAACAGATCTCTGGTTCTTCCCTTTCTATTATTTTCCTCTATTTCTCTGCACTGTTCATTTAAGAAGGTCCTCTTGTCTCTCATTGCCGTTCTTTGGAAGTCTGCATTCGATTTTCTGTAACTTTCCCTATCTCCCTTGCATTTCGTTTCTCTTCTCTTCTCTGCCACTTGTAAGACTTCATTGGACAGCCACTTTGCTTTCTTGCATTTCCTTTTCTTTGGGATGGCTTTTGTTGCTGCCTCCTGGACAATGTTACAAGCCTCCATCCATAGTTCTTCAGGCACTCTGTCCACCAAATCTAGTTCCTTAAATCTGTTCTTCACTTCCACTGTGTATTCATAAGGGATTTGATTTAGATTATACCTGACTAGTCCAGTGGTTTTTCCTACTTTCTTCAGTTTAAGCTCGAGTTTTGCTATAAGAAGCTGATGATCAGAGCCACCATCACCTCCAGGTCTTGTTTTTGCTGACAATACATAATCTACTAACCTAGAAATAAGTCCTGTTCCATATAAAGAAGCTTACTTCTGAGTAGATATGTCTAAGAATACACTGATTTGGCTGAGGTTGGACAAATCTTAATTTGGCTTTCTCCCACTTTCATATGTCTTGGATCATAAGTTCTCTCTGTCATATTTATGGAAAAGACATCAATTTTGAAAAGTTATTTTCAAAAATGGGCAGAATTAATCTTTAGTTGCCTGTACGAGTAAAATCTGAGAGGTACAGCTAGTGCTAATATGGCAAGGACCTTGTTGCACCTAACTTCTGTTTTAAGAAACACTTCCCTGTTAAAGAGTTCAGGGGGAGGAGCCTTTCCACACACAAAAAGGTGGCAACTCTAATTCAGCACCACAAACATAGTTGAATGTACAAAGAATCAAAAGCAGACTTCTCAGAGATGGGCAGATTTGTTCTTTTCACTGTTTATGAAAACATTTGTGAACTTTGGAAAATTCTTATTAACCCTCTTCCTCAATGTTCTCACTGATCTCCAGTCTCTACCAACCCCCCCCACACACACACACAATTAACAAAAGAAAGACTTCCTATGGCAAATGGTACAAAGATCATTATAAAGAAGATGAGGAAGAAGACAAAATATTCTGATTATTAGCAGCAGGACAAGGACCTGCCAGAGAGACGCTTATGTTCTGTCAAATGGCAGAGAACTTCATAAGCTACTTTTCAAACAAATGACTATCATTAACCCTTTCATAACTCAGTAGTGATCAGATGGTGAGCGGCTACTCTTCAGCAAGGACAGGTTCATCCTGTCATGATTTTCAGTGGCCTTAACAGCTCTGAAACATTTGTGCAAAATTTTCCTTTCCATTCTCCTTCCAGAACAGGACTTTAAAATGAGGTCACAGGATGCATGGTTGTTTCTTAATTGCCATTAACATTGTTCACTAATTACCCATTTGGACATTGTCCTAATTATACGTACTTCACATATAGTACAAACAAAAGCCTGTTTAGTAGTTTATCCTCCAGATTTTCATTGAAAAATGACTTATCAATATAAGTCATTTTTATGACCTTAGTTTTCACTTCAGTTGGAAAATTGAATGGCTTACTGTAAATTAAAGTAGAAACAGCAGAAATTACTCTGTGTTCTGACTTACAGGAACCCCACTCCCCTTTCCAGAACCAAACAAATAAGATGCAGCAAATCTGAGCTTCATCAGCAATCTCCACCTTCACCATCAGAAGGTATTTTGAACTTTGGGCCAAAAAGGTAACTGTACGTGGGGTCCACAATTCAGCCTTCAAATTCCAGTGCTTCTAACCCTCCTTTACTTTTTGAAATATAGCAAAAATGGTAAACCTTTTCTTTTGTATTAATACTGTCTGTGCATCTGAAGTCTCTGTAGGCAACCATAAATCATGTTTGTCTGTCATATTTCTTTGGATCTGACTTTATATTTAATGAGAAATGACTGGTCCCTTGAAAATGAAAGTCTTTACGCTTCTCAGATTTCCTTCAGTTCATAAAATTATGTATATCTGTGTCGAAAATGCATCTGATCAAATTAATGTCCAGATTCACTTCTTTGGAGTCCAAACAATACATATGATAGAGATGCGTGAATACACCTCCTTGTGCAAATACAAATACAAGCTAGATAGGGATGAGATCTGGATCAGGACCTCAGGGGAGCAAGACCTAAAACATCCTTCTTCTTTGCCCAATCCCACTTCCATCTCCATAGCTTATTTATATGTGTTTTTCTAACGGGGTTAGTACCTGCTAGAGGCATTCTACACCAGGAAAATGGCACAGGGAGGACAATAAAATATTGATTCCCTCTCCATCCCCACCCCAGCCTCAGTCTAAATGCCTTTGGACTCACAGACATACTCCTGGGATTAATAAAAGATTTGAAGATGCAGTTGGACATCTCTATAGCACATCTTTTTTGGCCCTTAGACACTTGTAGGTTGTGAGAATGGCAACCCATTGCAACTATTCTCTTTGACTTCCAGGTTCTTCTTGGCTTTGAGTGCAGGTGACACCTCAGGGTGAATGGAATCCAGCTGCTGTTCACACTGGAAAGCTGTGAGGAAAGCTGTTCTGTAGTTGTTGTTCATCCAGCCATATAGAAGGGGATTGGCAAACGTCGAGCACATGGCGATGACATGAAAGAGGGTGTAGATCAGTTTGTATTCCTGAAGATCCAGCACTTTGCTGTCAATATCACTGACAAGCTGAAAGATGTGAAATGGCAGCCAGCAGACTGCAAACACCACCACCACACATACCAGCATCTTGGTCGTTTTCCGACGTCTCTGATGGTAGTGATCATTTCCTGCCCCAGGACTAACATGGTGCTTCAGCTTACTCCAGATACGGATATAGGCATATGAGATGATCACCAGAGGCAAGACATATTGAATCAGGAGCATCGAGACACTATAGATGGTACCATAATTGACCAGGCTTTCCCTAGGCCAAGCCTCAGCACAGACCACCATCTTGAAGTCATGATTTAGCTCAATGGAGAAATACTCTCGAAAGATGGCCAGGGGACTAGCTAAGATAGCACTGCCAGCCCAAGCCACTCCAATGATAAGGAAGCTGATCCTTTTGGAGATCTTACTCTCTAAATGATACACAATGCAGCGGTGCCGGTCCAGGGCGATAACAGTTAAAGTCACTATAGATACCTGCACTGCCAGGCCTTGGGCGTAGGGCACCAGATGACAAAGTACCGGGCCAAGCTTCCATTCCCCCAGTAATGTGTAAACTAAAGTGAAAGGCAGACAGAGTGTGTTGACCAACAAATCAGCCACTGCCAAGTTGGCAATGAAGAAGTTTGTCACAGTGCGCATGCTCTTGAACTTGATCACCACATGAATCACCAGTGAATTGCCAACTAAGCCTAGTAAGATAATAGCGCAGTAGGCACAGATGAGAACTATCTGCACCTCAACCAAATTGGTGCTGTCCTTCAGATCGCCTTTTGGGTCAATGGGCAGATCACTGTACGGTTTGGAAAGGCCTGGCACATTCAGTCTGGAGTAGAGGTCCATTTTTGCTTGACTAGTCCAGTTCCCAGTTGCTTTTGATCCTCCCATCAGCCCCATGTTCTCTGCACGTGGTCTAAATTCCTCCTGCGAAGAATACGAAGAAAATGGATATGTAAAAGAGAAGGAAATACAAATCTATACACAGAAAACAGTAAGCAAAATTAGAAGCAGAGAACTTGTTTACTGGTTAAAATTATTACAGTGAGGCCCTGCAATTTCCTTACTGTTTTGAACAGGATGGAGGATCTCCACAGCTCACCCAAGGTCACTGCAGACATGCAGTTACCCTCTAAGCATGATTAGTGATCATGAGAATAGGAATGGAGAACTGGGACCTAAAATGCTCACCACTGCTCCTTCTCCTCATGGGCAGAGACCACAAGTACTTAGAATGGACTTAGAAAGGGCTAGATATTGGGAATAATCCAGAGTGTTACAGGATGTTATGGATGGTCTGCTCCATGAACAGAAAATGCCATCACAGTGGAGTGGTATGCTGCAGATGGTGACCCCAAAATGTGGCATATCTGAGATTGTATCTGGGATCATATCAGGAGAGGCCTTCCATCTGTCAGATTCAAAGTCTCCTCCTAGAAGGCCCAAAATATATATGCCAGCCCTAGATGTTGTGTGCTTATTTTCCCAATCAATTAACACCAGTGGGGAAGGGGATTTTTTAGAAGAGTGAAAGGTACAGACCTCTGATACAAAGAGATGCTGCATTAATTAATATGTTATGCATCTCTTGACTTCAAAGTACTTTTCAATCTTAGAACTGTAGAGCTGGAAGGGACACTATGGATCATAAAGTCCAGACCTTGACAGAGAGGAACAGAAAGGAATTGAACTCACAGCCTCTGTCTCTGCAGCCAGGTGCATAAACCACTTAACTACCCGGCAGTTCTTATCCAAATATAAAAATATGAACATTTCTCCTGTCTTGTACTGTATGTCACCTTATACAAGCTACATTTTTCAGCATTTGTATTCCATCAAAATGGGCTAATACACCTTTCTACACATGCACATACACATATGCATTTTCTACCCCGATTGCTGCAGGACTTAGGAAATCAGTACTTTTTCCTTACAGAATCTATCACAACCACAGTTTTAGCACAGATTTGACCAACAATATTTTTTCATGTTTCCATGTACATGCAACCACCAAAATAAGTCCAACAGCCACTGCTTAATACCACAGACATAATGTCAGAACTATCACTGTCATTCTAGTTGGAAAGTAAATGTTTTAGAAAGACAACTCAGAATTGGCTAGCTTAATTGGAGCAAATAAAAAAAGAAGTGCATATAGCTATGCTACCTTGTATTCATCTCTTGTAAATCTTATCCTTTCTTTCCTGAATCTTTCATCCCAGCAGTCAAAACTCGAGACTGTATGCTTCTTATGACAGAAATCTTTGTTTTGTATCCTATACAGCTGCATGATGGGTACAGCCAGCCAGAATGAAGGCAGGAATCATTAGGCTAATCTTTGGGCAATGTGCAGCAGGCATTAAGGGTTTCTACTATCCAGTAGTTCAAAAATAGTAAAACTTTCAAACTATCCCATGGCTTGCTTTGTATTAATCACAAACCTCCTAGTCTTAGTGCTCATCATCCCTGTTCCTTGCCTTTGACCAGATCTATACACCACTCTGCTAGCCAATTTTAGATATCTTGTAAGTTAGTTTTCTATATCTCCAGATCATCTGGATAAGTGGATGCTGTGTTTCCCCACATAATTGGCTCTGCATCATAAACTAACATCTATGTCCTCCCTCCCTCTCCACACCCACAGCTCCTGGATTTGGCTAAACTATGAAATAATGTCTCACAAGCATGACATCTGCTAACCTCTTATATACAGCAGTGCTGCACAAAAAAGCAGTACAGTATCAGATGATGTATTATGTAAAAGATCCAGTGTGGTATAATGGCTGCAGACTAGGATCAGGAGACCTTAGTTCAAATCCCTGCTCACCCATGAAACTCAGGAGGAAATGATAATGGTAAAAAAAGCTCCTTAAATATCTCACCTACCTTGAAAACACTATTAGGGTATCCGAAAGTTAGAAGTGACCTGATAGGACATAACAAAATATTATGCGCATTCTGACCTCAAGGTGTTTAACAAAGCACTAAAAATCCCAATTCCTTCCTCCTTTGCCTTGTGTTATGCAGGGTGCAAGGGAAAAAACTTCCAGATTTCACTTAGCTATTGTTCCAGCACTAGTGAAGTGGGGCATGTCCTAGCAAGATCTTTCAGTAGCGTATGCCTTCTTTTTTAGTTGCACCATGGCTCTGACACCGACCTTGTGGCCCTGAATTTTTCAGGCCATAGCAATATGGGGTTTTGGCTGGAACAGCAGCATTTTGACCCAGCACAAAGTGGATACGCAAAGTTCTCTGTGTCACAATCAGATTTGTTGTTTTTGATACATGCTTCAGTGATGAATACATGGTACATACCCATACAAGCCATGGTGGTCACTGAAAATGGTAAGGCATATACTACCAAAAGAACTGCCTACGACCTGCCCCACTTCACTAGCGTTGGACCAATAGCTAAGCAAAATTGGGGGTTTGGCCTACGACCTGCCCCACTTCACTAGCGTTAAGCAAAATTGGGTTGTTGTTTTTGCCACACCCTGTACTTCTTCTTATACAACTTATATTTTCCCAATCTGTCACTCTTTCATTTGCATTCCATCAAAACTTTCATCCTCCACCTAAAAAATAAAAAGGATATCACTCTTCAGGGGACAGGAGGAAAGGACATCCTTTGCTATTACTTTTAGGCAAGATGATATTTACAAAAAATTTCCAGGTATCAGAGAAGAAATCTGTTTTGAGCACAATGGTACAACCCTTGTTTTTCAACACAGTGTTTTGCTAGACAAGGAGAAAGAACAAAGATGGATTTACTATTATACTCAATGAATACAACCAGCTAAATTGCATTCTTATGTCAGATGGTTGGTAGGGAATAGATTTTCAGGAAAAACACAAGTTGCAAGAGATTTACATTACTTGTCAGTCAGAAAACTGGATGTGTTTTACCCCTTCTGTATTTCTTAGATTTATGTTCACATCCATATTTTTAGGCTTCCTTCCTCCTCCTCTCTCTCTGATGTCACTTCTTGTTCCTCTGTTGTATTACTGAGATAGGGTAAGAGACCTTCATAAGCCACCTTTCATGGTTCTGAAACCAACCCCAGGAATCTGTTTTTCTGTGTGATACCCAAACGGATTTCCTGAGTTATTAACCATTAAACCCCTCCCTTCCCCCTGCCTGTCTCCTGAATAATTCTTATTTTTCAGCAGCAATCCCAAACAATCCTACCAGCCTTTCCAGTTTTTCACAGATATTGGCTACTGTATATTCGACATGGTGGAATCTACAGGATACATCCCATCACAAGCCTGCTTTTCCACACTGGCCTTTCAAGTCTGCATTTCTTTCTGCTCTCAGGGTCAGCTCTGTCTCTCCCTCACCATGTTTGCACTTCTTCCCTCCCCCTAGCAGTAAGATTTATTCACAACAGTCACCAGATGCTATCATCACACACCTCTAGCAGAGTGCAAATTGCTGCTTTATAAAACAAGTCTCCCTCCCTCAACTATAAATGGTTGTGCATGTATCCATTTTACCACATATCTCTGCACTGTGAAACTGCCCAAAGCCAGGGAAACAGAGCAAAACAGCAGCACATAACTGCCCTCAGCTACGCTGGTTGGAGTATTCTGGAAGCCCACATATCTCTGCACTGTGAAACTGCCCCAAGCCAGGGAAACAGCAAAACAGCAGCACACAGCTGCCATCAGCTACGCTGGTTGGATTATTCTGGAAGCTGTAGTTCAAAAAGGTAACTTTCCTTATCTCTGGGTATTTGTCACATGACACGAAGTTGACATGATCTTGCACAAGGAGAATTTTTCTTCATTTAGAGTGGATATGTCACATTTGAAGCATCTCTTCATCACATTGTACCTGGGAATTAAGTTGGCCTTTCTGGCCAATGACATGGCGTTCTGATTATTAACTATTTGAAAGTGATCTGTCCTGTCAAAGAGAATGTTAGAAGCAATGTGTCAATCAGGAGGAAGCCAAAGAAACAGTTCTGCTTTTAGCCCCCACCTCAAATCCTTTTAAAGTCACTTAGTGACTGACAGACATGCCTGTGATCGTCTAAAATAAACATGTGAGGAGACTCTTCTTTCCCTTCTCTTTAAAAAACGCCAGTGCAGGAAAACAACTAGCTTCAAAGAGTACAAACTGTACCCTAGAATAAACAGTAAAAGAACAGAAGCCATATTTGATGTCGTGGGGTGTTTGAAATTAAATCTAAAAAGCTCATTTACAAATAACAGGAGATGTTGTTTCAGTACTGGAACACACTTGGAATGGTATTTGAAAAAGAAACCATTTCTGTTTAGACATTTGGAGGGTACAGACCTTTTATGGACAGAAAAGGAAGAGCCAGATCCTAATTCCACAGGCTTTTTATCAAACCTGTTCCGTTTTGTTCACATAATCCGAGGAACATTAGAATAGACTTCTCCCATTCATTTTAAGAAAGAGATGGATTGGGCTGGTGTTTTCTAATTCATTCTAAAGCTGTCAGAACTCTTCCAATTATTCATGGATGGTGCAGGGTAACCTAGGTTTGAGAGGATGCTCTGAACACACAGAAATGTGGATGTGCAGAAAACCGCACTTTTAAGGCTGCAGTCCTATATCCACTAACTTAGTCTTTTAGACCAGACGGGCGGGGTATAAATCAAATCAAATCAAATCAATCAATAAATAATATAATATGACTTACTTCAGAGTAGATGCATCTAAGACTGCAATGCCAATCTGTTTCAGCAATCCTCTTTATCTCAACAAAATCTTTCTGAAACCCCACAATACGTTTGAGAATACATTCCCAAACTTATGTTCTAGGTGGAAATTGATGCATAATAGAAAAGACTGGCTTTGTTAAACAATTCACACACTTTCATGTTGTGCAATGCGGCATGCTTCTACCTGACCTCTTCTTTACATCTGCTATTCTTCATTCACTCAACATTACTCT